CCTTACAGGTATAGGTGCAGATAAAAGCTTTGTTTAATATAAAATTCTTCTTTGAGCCACCTTTGTTTAGCTCTCTCTCACACTCTCAATATGAAATCACAAATACTTTACATTTCACACAAACCACAAATGCAACTCTGTGTGAACTGTGAGGTACTAATGACAAATTATAAAGCTCTAAACCTCTAATGTTGAACCTGGGACATTCCAGCAGACTGCCCTGCAACCCACCTCAGACAGAAAAAGAGTCATGTCTGATTTTTCAATGCTGGGACATTTATGAAAGCCAGAATCATAAATATCTTTACACTTGACATTTCAGGGCCCTGATAATAAATATTTTCATAACCAAGTATGGGGGTTTTGAGATAACAATATTAATATGTGTTTAAATTATTATAGCATGAGGTTGCCAAGCAAAGAAGCAATGGGCACTATCACAAATCCTTAAAAAGGACAGCGATTAAGTGTACTTGCTTTTTCTTTTGGCAATAGAAAAATAAAGCCCCTGTGGCTCTCAGCAGTGCAATTTTCTGATGCCAAAGCTCTCTCTCCAAATCCTTTCAATATGCAAAAGCTAACTTCTCCTTTCTCCGTTAAAACATATGAAAAAGTGTATAAAAATATTGCAACTCAGTGAGTGACTTCAGATCACAAACACGCTCAGAACTTCACTGAGGACAAAACTATAGGTGTGCCATTTGTGCAAGCAAAATATTTGCTCAGTTGCTTATAGAATGCCACAGTACTAAACACTGTCATTTACTTGAATTGCACATTTAGAAATGAATTGAGAATTTGCCCTTTTACATTTACTTTGCCCTTTTTTTTGGTGTTTTATGGATCTGACAAGATTATTTTGTCTGAAGATCCTGTTATTTCAGAGCTTGATTCTGCTTCCCATAATACTCATTATAAAATTAAAGACAATGCACAGAAGTTCAGGTGAGTTCACAGTTCATAAATCCAGCCTATATGCACTAAGAAAAAAGACTGCATTAAAAAAGATTAATCACTCTCATTTGTTTTAGAGTATTTAACAATGCTTTTGTTAAATTACTAGATTCACACACAAATTCAATTAGTAAAAATTAAAGACTGTTTGCTATTCTGAGAGGTAAAATCTAGAAGGTAGCATCATCTTTGGAGAAAGTAAGCTAAAATTTATCTTAAAAGATGGATAAAGCTAAGAAAAGCCAGGGAAAAAAACTAAAAGCAATGGAAACAAAAATTAAATGTCCTTTTCTGTGCAATTCCTAAAGGGCCCATTCTAAAGAATCTACCATCTACCTATGCAGACAAAAAACAGTGAGTGAAAACCAGACATTTTCTGTAGTTTGGAGAAAGACGTTTTTGTCATTCAGCATCAGTTATGCGAAAAGAACTATTATCTGAATAAATAGTTTGATATTTTCAGATATAATGAAAAAATTTACCTGCTGAAATTTTGCAGGTAAGGGCTGTGCTACAGCATATTCAAAAGTAATCTAGAGCACCTTCATCTCTAACAGGAGCTGTGTGGCAAGAGCAGACCTGCACCCCGCCCCCCGAAAATGGGATATGTGCTTGTAATTCATGCCTGCTATGAAAGGCAGTATGTGCATATGTAAATCTGTGAGCATATATGTAAGAGTGTGCAGGGGGATTAAAACTTCTGACATTAGCTGCAGAAAGGCCTTTAGAAATTTGCAGGTGCTTAGGAATTTGCAGGTGTTTGTTAATATTTTATGGATGTCTAGTGTTGTTGTTACCTGCTGTATTGCTGCCCTTGATCTTGAACGTGTAGTTGGCTGATTGCTGGTTAACTGTTACTAATAAATCAATACATCACTTTGATCTTGATTTGATTTAAACCACATAGCTGAACAGTTTTTCCATGTGATAATCATGAGGGAATAAACCATGAAGACGGAATAAATGCTATATTTTCTAATACAAGAACAGAGAGACATCAAATGAAGGTACCAAAACACTGATTCAAGGCAAGAAAAAGGAATTACTTCTTCAAACAACATGTAAAGTAATCTAAGAATTGTTTGCCAAAACATGTACTGGATGCTAAATGGGTTAAAAACTGATTGAAAGAAATTCATGGAAGAAGAATGGCAATTTAATATAATAGATACATCTGCTGAACCACAAGTTATTGAATATACTGAATATATTCGGTATACTGAATGATTACACAGGAGAAGTAACACTACATGTTTGCTGTATTCTTGTATTCTTTGCCAGGCATTCACCAGTAGCCACTGGTAGAAAAAAGGTATTGGACTAGACAGACCTTTGGTTTGAGCAGTTGTCTGTTGTTTTCTCTCTCTATTGCAGGACTTTTTTTTTCTCTACTAAAAGCTAGTTCAGGAGTACTTCTGCCATGTTGCTTAAGTACTACACATAAATCTTTTTGTATCCCACAATAAATACCAAGGACATACTGAATTTCCACAAAACCACAAGTACCAAACTTTATAAACCAGTGTGACTCAAACTAAATAAAATTCCACTCGTTACGCTAATGGAGTTCCAAAGTCCCCCCAAAGCCCAGAAACATTGGCACAGTGTAAAATTTATATAACGATTCTGTGGAAAACCCTTAGAAGTGCTGAAGTAATGCTCTGCTTTTCCCCTACCACAGGAATGATCCACAAAACAATATAAAATCAGTTCTCAATTCAAAGAATTTTCATCCAGACAAAATAAAGAAGAGGAGATGCCCGTAACTCGGCTTCCTTGACTCTCCTAGGAAGTTTTATGCCATCAGCATATGTTGAGACAGGAACAACAAATGGTCCCTACTTGCCTCAGGATTTAGACTAAAAGCTACAGCCAAACAGTAAATGAAGAGCCATTGGAAATCATTTGCTTCAAAGTGCTGTCACTTTTTTCCCTGTCTCTCTAGAAAGTATTTTTCACAAGAAATAACAAATATTTTTCACAGCAAAGTTTTCTTCCAAAGCTGAATTTTAGAATTGCAAATAAGTAGATGTCATATCCAAGAAACACAGTTTTAGGCCTGTAAAAATACTTTTCAATATTACTCTAAGTTTAATCACAGTAACATCCTAATCTATCCTAAGGAAGATAAAATAACACAGCTTAGCTCCACTTAGTTTCAAAAGTAAATTTTTTCACAGCAGTTCAGTGATAAGGCAGCACTTCTGTGAAATAACCAAGGACTCCATTATTAGTGTGAGCTGTTTTTCTTGGGAAGTGCATTTAACTGTTAAACTATTCCACTCTATCAGAATGTGAGGATACTCACCCTTTTCCAGAGACTTACACATGCCGATGTCAAGACAATGTATTCCAGAAAATCCCAAAGCTTGAAACAAATTTCACAGGGACAAAATACAGTCACTAGACTAACTTTCAATCTTACCTTCAAATGCAATATATGGAAGGGGTGACTGAGGTAGGAAGGATCAAACTGGACTAGAATCTACTGGCAAACTATTCATCTACTACAGCCTTTTTAGAAAATAAATTCTGGAGACATTGTGTCAAAGATAGTTTAATGCCAGTTATCTTATAAAACAACATTAAAAATGTTTCATAATGTCAACATAAGTATTGATTCCATTAACATTTTTATTGAATGACATTTACACACATTTTGATTCCTTTCTTCTCCTGTCCTCATTTTCAAACAGGATTTAAAGAACTATTTTTCTAGAGAATGTCAATACTGAGATCTGTTTACAAAGATTTCTCAAACCACCCACTAGTGTAGTATTTAAGAAATAATGCCGTATGACAAGTCCCTATCCCTTCTTTCGCCAGTTCGACCACTAACAGTTGAAACAGTAGTGCAATATCTTACAAAAATAATTTGCAAGATTTGTTTGTGTATTTTAAGGAAATTCCAGAAGTATTAACGTACTTTGTATTTTCCAAAAAGAATTCAGACTTTCATGCCACCTTCTCTACTATTCCATCTGGCTTCTTTGGTTTATTACATTGCCCTCTTTTTGTAGATCACAGATGTGATTTTTAGGAGGGAAAAACACAAATCTCCTCCAATGAGAAGCTTAGGCTCTGATACCGAAAATATACATACATTTCAAGCTGCAACAAAATACATTCCCGTCCTCAAGAGCCTTAGAGTTAAGTGACTAATGTAATGTAGTCTTTTGTAGGCAGATATAGAATCTTTTGTGTATTGCACAGTATTAACAAGCAGTTTAACAGGTGTATATTTTCAAATTTTTATTATATCTAATCACCGAATGTGGTAGTCAGAAATTATCCCTAAATAGATGCATTCTTACTCTAATGTAACCTAGGCCAGATTCTGAGACTTGTGTTTGTCTTTTTGTACATAATTGTGTGCTGACACCAAAATAAGAAGTCAACCTTAAGGCCTTTGGAAAAGCCCAGGCCACCATTTACCCAGGCCTGCATTTCCATTTAGCTCCCATCTACTAACCCATGTAAATTTGGCAACTTATCCTTTCTTTAATTTACGCTGAGTACTCAAACATTTTACCAATATATGTATGGAATAGAAGTAGGGGAATTAATATGGAGTGATACCAAGATTTAAAAATACCTATCTTTCATAATTTACTGACACTCCTTTCATATAAGGCACATTAGTAAGCAAGCTATCTTGCAACTAAAATTGATGTATTAACTTAAGAAATCTGATTCAAAGGCAAAGAAGATTACACTGTTACAATGTGTAATTCATGATGTCAGCATGACATTATAATTTGAGGCAAACATATTTTGCCTCCTCAGCAATTATTTTTTTAAACCTGTGCCATACGTGATAAAGATGATTGTGTAAATGACTGTATCAACAATTTATAAGATTTCTCTCATAAAAGCTTCCCAAATCTAAACATTTTCTTCAGTCTTTTTCAAGAAATTGGCACTTAAAGTATATGCATAATAATACATTTTGACTACGTAGAAAAAAATTTTAAGTAATAAAAATCAATCTGCCATAGTTCCAAAGTTTCCTGAATAGGCTTAAAATGCATCTCCAGTAGTCTATGCTACTTTAGTGTTAAATAATGAGGTAGCACATTGTTCCAAAACTGTTCTGAATTATGTAAACCATTTGCTACATGCTGTTTGGACTTCATTTTTTGTTTAGAGCTGTTTGGTAAAGCAGTACCTTGTGTCTTCTCTGGCTTCCTGGTTTTGCTTTTATTTTGTGGAAGCTTATTACTACAATTTCTTCTTTTAACTTTTGCTTTTTCCTCTTCCTCTCCTTTTTCCTCCCCCTCATCCTCTTCTTCCTCCTCTCCCACATCCCTTTCTTTCTCTTCTCCTTCTTCCCCTTCTTCTTCCTCCCCTCCCTCTTCCTCTTTTTCCTCCTCTCTCTCTTCTTCTTCCTCTCTCTCTTCTTCTTCCACTCCCTCTTCTTCTTCCACATCCTCTTCTCCCTCATCTTCAACTCCCTCTTCTCCCTCTTCTTCTTCTTCCCCTACTCCCTCATCTTCTTCCACCCCTTCTCCCTCGTCTTCATCTTCTTCCCCTTCCTCTTCTTCATTTTCCCACTCCTCCTCTTCCTTGTTTTCATCTTCTTCCCCCTCTTCCCTTTCTGCTTCTGTCTCTGCTCCTTCCTCTTCATCCTCATTTTCTCCTTCCTCTTCCACTTCATCCTCCCCCTCTTCTCCTTCTTCCACTCCATCCTCCTCCATCTCCTTAGTCCTATTTGCATCTTCCTCTTCCTCTTCGTCCTCCCCTTCTTCTCCTTCTTCTTCTACTCCATCCTCCCCCACCTCCTTAGTCCTCCTATTTGCAACCTCTTCCTCTTCATCCTCCCCTTCTTCTCCTTCCTCTTCCACTCCATCCTCCCCCACCTCCTTAGTCCTCCTATTTGCATCTTCCTCTTCCTGTTCTTCAGATACCTCTTCTTCTTGCCTCCCTCCCAACGATTCTTCCAACCCCTCCTCTTCACCCTCTTTGTCTTTTTCATTCACCCTTTCTTTGTTTTCTTCATTTTCCTTGTCATCTTCTCCTTCCTCTTCTGCCTCTACCTCTTTTTCTTCCTCTCCCTCTCTATCTTCACCTCCTTCCTCAGTCTCATCTCTTTCCTCGCTTTTAACCTGTTCCTCCTTTTCTTTTTCAGTGTTTTCCTCTTTTGCATACTCCTCCTCCTCCACATCCTCCTTTTCTCCCTCACTCAGCATTTCTTCTTCCTCCATCAACCTGCCTTCCTCATCTCCTTGCTCTTTGCCATCTTCCTGATCAATCTCTGCAACCTCCTCTGCACCCTCATTCTCACTGTCTCTTTCAGCCTGTGATTCCTCTCTTTCATTTTCTTCATCATTATCTTTCTCCTCTTCATCTCTTTCTACTGAAACTTCATGTCTATCTTTTTTAACTGCACTCTCTTCTTCTTCCTCCCCTAGTTCACCTTCACTGTCAACTGTTTCATCTAGTTTTTCTTTTTCACTTTCACCCTTTTCACTGCCTTCACTCTCCTGCTCTTGATTAGATTCCTCCTCATTCTTCATTTCTAACCGCCTGTCTTCATGAGACTCGGCTTCAGAGTTTGTTTCTTCCTCATTCAGGCTTTTCATAGCAGTCTCTGCTACATATTCTTTCTCACTGTTTGTAGCTTGCATCTCCTCAATCTCCCTGTCATCTTTTTCTAAGTCCAAATCTTTCACTTTGTCTACTGTTTTCATTGCCTTCTGGACCTGTCTGCCTTCATAGTAGTCCTCTCCTTTTTTCCTACTCTTAAGTACATATTTTGCAAGATCATTACTATTTTCCTCAGTTGAAAATGATGACACAGTTACAGGTATTTGTTTCAAAAATCGATCCTTTTTTTTAAATCCTCTCTGCTCTTCACTAATTTCTTCTCTTGAGACACATATTCTTTCACATTTATCAGACTTTCCAACAACATCCTTTATTTTGTTTTGACTTTCTATTGCTTCTTGACTTCCCTGCTTTTTAGCAGGATTGTATTTTTGTACAATTAATGAATCGGTCTGAGGCTGATCCCTGGATGCAGAAGGAAGTACATCTATTTTAATGGATTGCTTAGATTTAACAGCTTTTGGATTTTTATTGGAAGAATTTGCTTTTTCAGTCAGATTTTGTTTTTCACTTGGAAGATTATAAGTTACATCCTCTCTGACAAATTCAGGATTTTCCACATATCCTTCTTCCCTTTTCACTAGTCTGCATTTGTCGCTAGTAATTTGTTGAACACCACTTTTCAAAGCACTAACACTTTGTGCCTGCTCAGATTTACCTTTCATTGTATTTTTTTTGGCCACAGGCTTTCCTACAAAGGCACTACTTTTTTCTAAATCTGGTCCTGGCAACTCTGAAAGTGAAGACTGCTTTTGTAAAGAGCCAGAGTCTAATTCTGAGCCCTCTTTTATGAAATCAGAATCCTTGTTCTTCAGCCCACCCTTACCATCTCTTTTCAGTTTCACATTTTTATTGTTCTTCTATTCCACATGAGAAGCAGAAAATTAAAAAGAAAGAAGGAAAGCATTAAGGACAAATGACAGCAAAAGAAAAAGGTTACAAAAACATCTGAACAAGAAAAGAAACAATTTGTGTGAGGGGACTAAAAGATGGCATAAAAGGTAGAGTATTTCACATGAAATGAATTTACAAGTGTACATATTAGAAGAATGTAGTATTCTGTTGATGGTAAATGTACTACTATGCCCTTTTCACTACCCAAGCACTCAAAGTGAATGCAATAAGAACGTGCAGCCAGTACCACGTCCCATAAGCTAGAGCACATGCAATGCCCGAGGCTGTGTAAACAGAAGGAAAGAACTACAGTTCTCTTACACCTCCACCGTTCCCCTTGGGAAATCTGATGCACTCACTGTTATGCTCTTTCTAATAAGTTTGAAAATCTATTGTCTTTCTGCTTTAAATTTTACACTTATTTAACAAATTCTGCAGAATAATATTTTAAATATAAAATAAAATTATAAGGAAATATACCAAAATGCTAAAATGTTGGGATCAATTTAGGAGTAAAATAGAAAGATAATACAAAAATATTTTAATTTCATAATTAAAACCAGTATTATTGCTCCTTTAAATATACTCCATGGTGAATACCTGTAAATAAAACCTTTACTTACATGGTGTCCCAAAAGTCAATTAAAATATTAAAATATCAACACACCAGTAGAAATGTATGTTATCAGCTTAAGTTACAAAGCATATATGATAGTCTCTTGCTCCTTAAACTGGTGAAGTATTACATACTCTAATCTCGGATGATACTGGATATGATTCTATGTGCCTGAACAAATTCTCTCTGACATCAGTCAGATTCTTAGAATTTTACCTCATGGATATTCAGAAAATTAGCAAGAGATGATCTATAAAACTTGCCCAGCTTTTTTAAAACTCAAAGCAAAACAATCAAGTACTAGGATAATACAAGAATTACAGATCTTTTAAACATCAGTGTAAGTATACATATACATGCATATATAATTAGTTACAGTACCTTTTGTTTTTGGAGTGGTGATAATTTTAAGGACTGGTCACTGGGATTCAATTTCATTGCATGTGTCTGCAAAAATAGTATCTCCATTAAAAAAAAATATAACCAACAGGGAAAGCATCATCAAAGCCCCATTCTACTAAACAGAGCTATTACACGATCATGTTAATACTATCGCACAGTCAGGTTGAGACAAACCTGTATGATCACTCAGCTCACCTATCTCCCTTCCACTCCCTCATTTACTGCTTATAAAGTGAGAGTGGTAACCAGCTTAGATGTCAATGTCTAAATTGAAAGCTACATGACCTCTCTTACAGCCCACAAGCACATTTTAGATCCACCTTCCACTCATCGTGAAATTGTGGCTACAAATATAACACCTTACTCCCTTATCACCACAACCTTCAAGTTAAAATCCAGTTTGATACCATGGCCTTGAAAGAACATGTTCAAAGAAACATTACATAGCAGAAATTTTCACTGGAATCTAATGCCTTTCACTCTTCTACATAAAAAGCAAAAAACCAAAAGGCAAGGCAATGTAGAATACTACTAGGTGAGCAAGTACAGTGAGGTTTTAGTCATCCCTTCCCATATACTCTAAATGACAAGATAATGTTCTCTGCTGCTGTTTGTTAACTGCTTATGGTTTAACCACCATATTCTTTTTCAACACAGTGAGCATGGACAGTTCTGGTTTCTGACTCCCAAGAATTTGTATCATCAACATGACATTAAAGGCTTTTCCTCCTCTTGTCACACTTGTCAATAAGATGTATGTTACCACAGTTTAGAAAAATTGAAACAACTATGCTGTAACAGATTATTTTCGTTCAGATTCAAGAAGAGCAATAATTTTACTTTGTATTTTGACAAGTTCTCCTGACAGACTTTTTTCAAATTTACTGTTTCATTCTGATAAATGTTTTAAAATTGATTCACAATGGGTACAAAAACAAAAAGGAGAAGGAAGTCTAGCACAAAAATTGTGCAATATGTTATAAAAAATGCCTCAGTAAATTAATGGCACGTTGTGCATCATATCTGAAAATATTTTTTTTTTTGTAAATGAAAATAAAGTTTTATAACTGCTAAATAAATGGTATGCACAAAAAGATTGTTAAATTACTAAGTATTGTTAAGTACAAACAAGTAATAATTTCTGCAAAATGTGCAATCCCTCCAGCATAACTGACAGCATATCCTGAGCTGAGTCCACACTGAGTTTCTCATTTTTCCCATTCCACTGAAGTTAAAAAAAGATGACAAAAAATAACACTCCAGTGCACTGCATTAAGGCCAGGACATGCCCTATCGGCTGAGAGAACAACATTTTTTGGAAAGGTGCACAAGTGATAAGGTGAACATATTTTTTAAATAAAAGAAATACATAGGAACATGCTTGGGGATCAACAAATAATCAAAATGTCTGCATTTTAGTCTTCCCTTTAATATGATCCACCTGTACTAAAAAAAGCTCTTCTAGGAACAGGAAAAGACAGCTCTCTGCTTCATTTCCTGAAGTTCTCTCCCTTGAAATCATAAGATGAGGAAGGTTAGAGATCACCATGTGGTATCCAGTGTCCTCCTTTTCTTTCTGATATCCAGAGATAAAGCATGGGGAGGAGCTGCACTACTTGGACTGCTTCAATCTCATTTTACAATGTTATTTGGAAAATGAAAGCAAACTTTAGCATGGGATAATGATGATACGTAATGCATGCTCATTTGACAGTATGTCAGTACTTCTTGATGCCACATATGACGTTCTGGGCTAGCCAGGAATTCTGTACTAGAACTTGAAACATTATTTAGCTGTTTTGTTCTTCCCCTGCATAAAAACGACTGAATCACAGATTCATTAGTGCAATACATTACCATATTTAGGATGTCGGTTGTATCTCCAAGGTTTCTGTCATTATTTTCATTATCTGAATCTTCTTCTGCAGAGACTTCACCAGATTTATCTTTTTGATGATTCTTTTCTTTAAGGTAAAAAAGGGGGAAGTAAACAAATACCATAGGAACAAGCAATATATTGTAAACAGAACACTCCACTCTTGTAAAATAGAGACTGAAGTCCTGAGATTCCTCATTCCCCCGGCCTCGGACACAGCAGAAACACTTCACCTCCTTTCCATCGGTATTAACATTAGAGGTAGTTCAGCAATCTGGCCTCAGTGCACTGTAGATCTCTGACCATTTTTGCAGGCTTTCAAAGCATAAATACTACAGGAGATAAAGCTTCTTTTGGATTATCTCTTTAATAACAGTCTACCAATTAGACTAAATTAGCTGCAGTCATATTGTCTACATTGCACATTATCTGTGTAATGGATACAGAGACAGTGAGTTTAACTCCAATGCAGCATCATTATTTTTCAAGCTCACCTCAAGTTCATCAGGTATATGACCAATTTCATAGGGCACAAAACCTGAGGTTTTATGCCTCAGAAGACTCTAAAGGCATTTCAAATTTCACTGCATTACTCTCCTGGAACCAGAAATGCTAATGGACATGTTGGCAGCTTTACAAATAGTCACCTTAATTCTAACTGAATTAATTACTTTCAAATTGGATTTGACTGTCTGATAAATCTGAGCTAACTTTTACAAAAAAGAACTGCATTCTGCACTCTTCAGCACCTCTTTTCCCAAGAAATCACACATACCCAGGAACCTAGATGAAGTCCAGAACTGCTCTAGAGAATCTGTGCAGAAGTCCAGCACTGTGTCAGTATCATTGTTATCCAGGCTTTTGCATGAGCTAGAATATTGTAAATCCTTATTATCTTAGATAACAGAGACTGAAGAGTACTTTCACATTTCCAAGTGAAGAAGAAAGCTCCTGTAAGAATTAGTAGACCTCTCTTCTTTTTCCAAGGTCTCTTCTAGGCCTTTCTGTGTCTTTATGACTGTTCCTAATAAGTTTTTTTCTGTAATTCTTTTTTTTTTTTGTGAAAATGGAGAAAGTGGTTGCTAATCTTACAGTATTTTTGTGAAGTCATATTTCTACAGGCTTGAGGAACCTCAGGTACAATTCAGAAGTTGTTTTTCTTTCACTTAACCCTCCTCTCAATCTTGAAGCATGTTTTCCAAACATGAACCAAGTGTGAGGCAATTTCTTGTATGCATTTCTCAACTCTCATGTCTGTATTCTGCCAGACCTTCTTGAGGTAAGATTGAACTTAAACCTTCTTTCATGTTCAAACTCAGCATTCGTTTATGAATGATGAGAGCCAAACTACATAATTCTCTGAAAACAGCAACAAGATGTGGGGACACTTCACCTTTCTCATGGTCTTTATCCTTCATAGGTTCAGCTTTAGGAAGACTTGTTGCAGAAAAACAGAGTGGGCTAGTGTTGCTAGTCACAGGCAATGAAGATTTTAAGAAGCTTTCTCCCAGTGGAGGCAGAGTTCGTGCCATTCGAATAAACTGTTCCGGTGACTTTTCCTTTAAAAGAGTAAAAAAAAAAGTTATTGAGAATAAGAGTAGAAGAATAAAATGTAAGCAACCCCTCATACTTAGCAGTGGTATTTTCCTTTAGTTAATGATACAGTGTTGTAACTTTGTATGCAAAGCATAAACAAAATCTCTTGAATATTTCAATTATTTCTAAAAGGTGGAGAGACACAGTGGAGTATTTTAGGTTGTTTCTACACAATAATCTCAAGTAGTCTTAAAATACAGACAAAGGATGAAAAGAATTTTGATTTTTATTTAAAATGAAAATAATAGTTTCTCAAATAACACTGAGTTACTTAATGCACAGCATCAATATAGTTTTACAAAATAAATGCGGTTTTGTGGTAGAGTTAGTTTTCAGACAGCTAAGTGAAATGATCCAACTCATAGTGCTGCTAAAGAAGTCACATGGAATGTGTAGTGGAGATAAAGGAGAAGAAACTACTATTTTAAGTAGCTACAGTATCTTAGGATCATTTTAAGCTGATTGTGAAACTTTCTCCTTTCACATTTTATAAACTGTGAACTTGTTTAATCTAGTCAAGGACTCAGAGGGAACACCAAAAAGAGTCAGGTTCTTATTTTTTTTTTAATATTTATGAGGTATTTTTAAAAATGCAAAGGAACGGGCTCTACATTTGAGAGTATTAAAAATACAAAACCAATCTGAGTCTTTTTCATAGAAATAAGCAAGTAAAATCGGACCAATACCTATCTTTTACTGCATCCATTTTGGGACCAGGGTAGATACTCATTCTTTTTTTTATTCCTTAAAATTAGACGTGTATTTTAAGGAGATATATTTATCTGTTGGGTATATGCTGTGATTTTAGTTTAAAAAGTTATTTTGTTTCCTAAAACAAGTATGGCAACTCTAAAGAGCTCTCAATTTACCCTCTCTCGACGTCGCATTCGTGCTGATGTTAGTTGTAAGGTGTTTGTTAGTAATGAGTCTCCACTTATTTTAGAGATAGTAGTAGTCAAATGGCGCTCATATAAATCTTCTAAGAATATTTCTTCAGATCCTTTAGGTCTTGGTGCAGCAAAAACTAGCATGTGACAACCACCACAAGCAACCTACAGTGCCAAAAAAGGTCTGCTTATTTCATTTGCAAGTATCAATACAAGGATCTCATTTTCTTACAATCATCTCTAGGGACTCAGATTATAAGAGAAACATAATAAAAGTAAGAGATGTTAATTAGCTTTAAATTTAGCTCCTAATGATGTTAGCTAGATAAAAGTACATAGTTACAATTATTAATGACTAGTAATCTATGTTCATTTCATCTTACCTAAATTCAATGTATTGTATCGAACAGAACACAAGATAGGTCTATCAAATTATTGAAACAGAAGAAAGCAAAGATATTTCCACAGATTTTGAAGGGATTGGAGCTAATTATTTTGATGCAAGTCAAATGTGGGAAATATTGGTAACTTCAGTGATACAAACCTAGATATTTTATCACAAAATCCATAATATGTAATGCAAAATCCTACACCCTCGAATAGACAAAATATAATTACATAAAGATCAGAGTTTTGACTGTCTAAATTTAAAGTTTCAATCCCTTACCACTTCTGATAAAACTTCTTTAAACTCTTAGCTCCAGTAAACAAACAGAAGTGAGCCACAGACTTTTGTCCCAAATTTTGGTCAATCCTGAGTAATGTTTGCATGTTTTGTGCTGGCAATTCTGTGATACTTATTTCTTAAACACCTCAGGAAACAGATTAAAACAATGTCCTTAAAAGAAAAGAGTTTTTCTCCTTTCTCATCCTGTTTGGATGTACAAATAATCATTAAAATTAAAAAGATGTCCCTCTGGTGTTTTCAGAACAGATATTAGTTTCTCCCTACTGCCAACAGTCTAAGAGCAACAAATATTTAATTTTATAGGCTACTACCAACTCTGTACACCAAAACATTATAGTGCAACACTACTGAATGAAACCCTAAAAAACAGTCTGTATGTGTAGTCCAAGCCAAGTACATTCCAAATTAAATGACCAGTGTGAAATAGAATTTCCTTTTTCTTTCAATTTGCGTTGTCTACTAATCAAATGCTGCAGCAAAAAATAATTCTATAATGAGATTTCAACTCTCATTAATAACGTTTCATAAAAATATGAATATTTTGATGTCTGAGAAGCATGAACAAAATTTTTACCAAAAGGACTGTGAACTTCAAGAAATTGTAACATAGAGTGGGATCAAACTGATTTGTAAAATTCTCTTCTCCAAGTCCTAACTTGCCGTGTCGCCCATCTCCAAAAGTAAACATGAGGCCATTCTCTGTATATAGGAAAAAAAAAGAATGTATTAATAACAAAGATTCAGTACAAAACCAGGACAAAACCATCACAAACAAAGTAACAGGCCATGCAAGTGTGGAATATTTCTCTTCCAAAAGCAAAACCTGAACAATTATTTTCAGATTTTCAACAGATGAATAAGATCGAAAAATATATTTATTTTCAGACAAAGTAAATTTGGAGATTAGAGTTAGTCTAGACAATTTGGGGAGAAAAAACCCAACAACAAAACACTAAGATTGAAATTGTATAGCAAAATAAAGCCTTCTGAACAAGAATATTTGTTACAAGGCATGATTATGATGTTACAATTCAATTCCCCAGGAGATACCATGTACAGAACTATGCATGGCATGGCTGTGAATCAGAAATTTCTAGCATCAAATCTGGCTTTCTCAGTAGCTCACTTAACCTTTAGAACTAGTAAGTCTGCATATGTCGTCTTCTACTGCTCATTTTACAAAGAAAGCTTTTACAGTGTAATAGAGAGTCACATGAAGTGCGTTTCAGAATTTTTCACTTACATACCTGCAATTACAGCAGTATGATTTTCCCCACATGTAATGTTACTTATTTTGTGCCTCCTCAAGTGTTTCACAGACTTTGGTACTGAAGTTTCAAAAATAAAAGTACCATGTCCCAGCTGCCCATATTGTCCAAGTCCGAAAGTATATACATCTGTCTCTGAAAATGTACAGGCAAAGTTAACAACAAATATACTGACATATACATTATAACCTGCTTTCTATTAGCCAAGTGAAAGTCAAATGACATCAGCATCAAAAAAGCAGTGTTTTATCAATTAAAAAATGTACCAACTAATCAATTAGATTTATCAATTAAGAACAAAATATAACAAAATAAAAACCAGGCAATGAAGCACTAAAATGTATACAGAAAAGAATTTTGAATGGTTCAATATGCAATATATTTTCTAACATAACTGCAAAATAATCCTGCATGTACATTGTACAATCCTAAATTTAACAGACTAGACCTCTTTAAACCAATGCTAATTTGTGTGTAAGAAGAGACTGGAACAGTAATAGAACAGGTTTCAGTATTCTGTTCAGCTACCAAATCAGCCTTGCATTAAATACACTATAATTTTGTCATCTTGTGACAGAATAATCATCTTTCCACATTTATATTTTGTCCATTTAATGGATTGCCTGAGCCAGGAAAAAGAATAAGAGCTTCTCCAAAGCAATAAAGATTCTTGGTGTGTCCATCCCTGGCACTCCATCACAACAGGGGAAGATTGTGAAGCTTGGAAATCTTGATGAGATCATGCTTGAAAAAGGAAATTCAGAGATTAAGATTTTTTGGGAAAAGGAGAAGTTTTCCTGGAATTTTATTCCCTGCCCCTTTTTCTTCTACAGTTAGGCAACAAAGGAAAAGCTAGAGAAATACTAATTAAAACTTGAAAAATTGTTATGAAAACCTGTGAAAGATTTGAGAAGCACAAAAAATATTCTACGTCAAGCAAAAAGAACTGAGACTTGGGAGAAATATATCATTACATTTACTGTCATGAACATGGTGCAGAGCATGCCTGCTCCTGCTGCACAGATAACATCAGGTCAAAAATCTCACCGCCTTCAAAAGCAAGAGAGGAATGGGTATCCACAGCTGAATGTGTGGACCCAGAATCGATGGAGAATCTTTGCTTTTTGAGCACTTCCTTGTGTAAAGGAAACAAGATCACTGGAATAGCAAAGTAAGTTGCAGTGCCACAAAATTAATTTATACTGTGCAACTAAGTTCTCAGAGCAGCCACAAACTGGAGAAATATTAAGAACAAATTATGTTACCATTCCCCCAAACTAATCCTTCACTACTATCAGAGAGAGAGAAAGCGGAGAACAGACCAGATTCCATATTACTACCACAGTAGACTTAACAACTTACACTGAACTTTCTGATTTCAAAGGAACCATGATGAAATACTGTAACACTACATATGGAAATGTTCTTCCTAGGAAAGGGTTTGCCCTTTCTGATCCTTTTAGATTGTTCCATATTAATATGTCATGAATTCACAACATAAAAAAACCCAATGGTCTCACATTTTTTCAGATTGTAGATGAAAAACATTCAGTAAATCTGTTTTTTTTACTAAATATAATGGTAAAGCTCCCTCTGCTGGAAATTTCAGTGCAAGAAAGCAACACCTTCTCAAGATCTTTACAAAGTAAAACAAGAAGGAAGAATTTCTCTGTAACATTTAGACTTTCTGCAGAAGAATCAAGAAACTATCCCTGAATGACAGGAGCCTTCTCTAAGGCAACCAAAGTCTCATGTTCATTTTAGTAAATGGCTTTCTCATTCAGACGGCTGGAACACCTCTCCTCTGAGGACAGGCTGACAGAGTTGGGGTGGTTCAGGCTGAAGAAGAGAAGGCTCTGGGGAGACATTCTTGCAGCCTTCCAATACTTAAAGGGGGCTTATAAGAAAGATCAGGACAGACTTTTTAGAAGGTTCTGTAGCAATAGGACAAGGGGTAATAGTTTTAAACTAGAAGAGGGGAGATTTAGACTAGATGTAAGGAAGACTTTTTTTTACAGTGAGGGTGGTGAAACACTGGCACAGGTTGCCCAGAGAGGTGGTAGATGCCCCATCCCTGGCAACATTCAGGGTCAGGTTGGACGGGGCTCTGAGCAACCTGATCTGGTTGAAGATGTCCCTGATCATTGCAGGGGTTTGGACTACATGGCCTTTAAAGGTCCCTTCCAACCCAAACTAGTTTATGATTCCATGTTTCTATTCCATAAATTGTTTAAAAGTACTGTATTTGTCTTAACATTTCTTTGTAAACTGGCAGATCTTGTAATTTTCAAACTATATGGCTTGATCTGATTAACATAATTATTTTGAGTGAAGTTGGAGCTATTCTCTTTAATCCTAGCTTGAAAAATGCAACACCTTTTTCATAAAACAAGTTAGACCTCTAAAGGCATTTGTGTTTAGAGGGGGATGTTCTCAAATGATAACTTTAAAAATACAAGAAATTATTTTCTTTTCCCAATTTCTAGTGACAATGAGGAGAATGGGCCAACCCAAAACCAAGTTAGAGTGCTTTTTATAAGAACGATTTTTTCTACTGCCTGTACAGACCAGGCCACCTAAATTTTGGTCCTCCTAAAATTCACATATTAGCCCATTATCAAGGCATAGGAAGACAAAAACCTTGCACCCTAAACTATTCATCGTTCTGGTGCAGAAGTGAGGCCAAACCTCAGCAAGAATCTAATTTAGCAGAAATGAGGCATTTCCTCCAATTCGTCTTTATAAATACATGGAAAGAGAAGTCTCTGGCAAAGCAACTTCAGAGACTTAGTGAGAAAATGACAGAGGTGAATTTCATCATTCTGAGCTTGAATGTGCAAATGAATTTGCTGACAGTGCAAATCCAAAAGCGGATACAGCCCCACTGTCACCTTCTTACTGTCCTCAGTCCCAGTAAGGGCATGGTTGAATGAAACAAATGAAACGTTCTGCCAGCAAAAGGGCAGCTCTCGCTCTCCCATTCTCTCTCTTCAGTCCCCACTGGCACTGTCTCTGCTGTCCACCTGGCTACGTGGTGAGCCAGCTCACCTCAGTAAGCCCGGTTTTGGGGGTTTTTGCTGATACAGTTTCCTGTGGAATGGTCAAGGCAGCACCAGGGCGGTACAAGGGGAGAGGACAGACATACGGCCATGGCAGCACGAGGGAAGCAGTGCTGCCTCCAGTGCGTGAGTGAATCACAAGGAAGGCTCAGCCATACTAACAGCACCCAGAGGAAACTGAACAAAAGTCCTGCCTTGGCTTTGAGGAAGGAACTGCTGCCTCCACAGCAGCAGCTCATGAGAAGGGTCCTTGAAGGATGAAGAGAAATGGCTTCAGAGCTTGCACAGAAGCCAATGGCTTCGCTGTTCCAAGTGACCTCCAGCATTTGAGTGCTGGGACTGCTTCCTCTCTAGTTCTTACATTTCTTTTTTGGATGAACAGGCATATTTCCCTGTAACTGTCTATTGTCCACCTTTACAGTTATCTTCTGGAATATGTAACAGCTCTTTAATGTCCAGGACTGTTGTCACTATAAATAAAATAGATTAGGGAAAAATCTATATAGCTTTCAGATTTGTTTTTAACACATACTATTTACTTAAAGAACTCAGTGAGCTCCAAGAGTGTTTTTTTAAAATCCCTGCATTCTTTGCTATGTATTTAAGGCTACAGACAAAGTTAAAAAACCATGGAAGGAAAACAGAAACAGACAGGTATGCTTATATCTCTCCACAGAGATTCATTTCCCTTGAACATTATTATTATTTATGATTACCACTACTACTACTACTACTACTACTGCTACTATTACTGCTAGTATGTCAATGGGCTATTCACTCTTACTATAGCTTTATTTTTAAACAGTTTATGCTGAAAAATGTTACTGTAAAAATAAGCTGTAGACACAATACTCATTTTTACCAGAGCTAGTAATTGGATTTGAGGATTCCAGTACAAATAGTATACAGACTTAAGAATGGTTTGAAAAATCTAGATAATCCTATACGGCTTGAATAGTCAGTTCTGTCATGAAAAGGTAGAGCTTTTTCATCCATTTCATTCTCTGTCAAAAGGGTATCTTGACTTTGTTTTCTTTTAAAAAGACCTTGAGACAGAAGATGAAAAATCCAACATTTTACATACTAACACACTAATGTGCTGTATTTTTATGTCAGATGATCTATTCTCGAAGGACTGCTTTACTTTTTCCTTTGAAGAGATATCTTTGCTTTCCCTCTCTTCAGAGAATAAATGGAGGTAATATATCCGTTTATAGAGAGGATTATTCGCAGAGGATCTGTCATCATCTGAAAAAATGGAAGATACTAAGGCCACTCCCAATCATCTGTTTCTTCTCCAACTTCTAGATTCACAAGTTATTGTTATTCTACTTTTTTTAAAGTTTTATTGAAAAAGTACACAAATTGGGATTGCTGCACTCTCATGTTTCTTTTGAAAGTGACGATAACAGCTTTCATTTTCAGTAGGAAGCATTTGCAAGCATTGTGGGTAGTGGATGCATTTTTTTCATCTCTGAGAGAAGTCATCTGGGATGAGAATAGGATCTTCTTGAATTGGCTGATAGGCTGTCATGAAATGAATAGTTTTGTGCTGCTACAGTGAGAGAAAGCTTTTGTAGGATAGAATTTTTGACTGAGATTCTGTTTATTCCCTAGAACAACTGCAGATACTAAAGGCAGAACTAACAATAAGATTTGTGAAAAAGATCATTTCTAATATCATCCAAAAAAAGTTTTTTTTCCTAATCATTGCTCTCAACAGTTTAATATTTTGTTCTCTGGGAGAAAATTAGATTTTCACATTTTGGAGTTTCAGAGAAAAAAAATTAATTACTTTAATATACACTTTCTACCATTTACTCTGATACTTGCTGGAGAGGTGCCAAACAGTAGTTTGATTTAATAATCCAGATAACGGTGGTTCTTACCATACAAAATTGCCAATAGAATAGACAAGACAGTCATAAAAAAGAAATCAACTGAAGTGCTTTGGAATAGACTAATTACATATGACAGTCAGGAAGAAACTTGCCTCATACTAAGATAACTGGATTATGTTGTCTTTTATTTTCATAAACCCTAAGTAGAACTGATGACAAGAAATGAGCCAAGATGTGCAAGAACTTCTCCATATGACATTTTCTCCTATCTTATTCCTATGTTAAATAAGACAGATGAAACAGGGAATATACAATAGTCAAACACTCGTTATTTTTTAAGACTGAAATGACACACCCTGAAAAACCGGAAAGACCCTGAAAAGATGAAAACCGCATCAGTATATATTGTGTTACTAAAGCCAAACAGCACCCATTTGCTTGGAAGATAATACATGAAATTCAGAATTTCTTCAAAATTGTACTACATTCTTAATTTAGGAAAATAAGCCGAAAAGAGGTATAAGTGTTTCTGCTCCTCTCTGAAGATGTATCTCACATCAGAATTCTCAATTAGTGGTCACACCACTTCATCTCAAGATGCAATACACACTTCAGTACTGATTTCAAGTTAAGTTTCTGGTGCAAAGCCTACAATGCATGTATGCTACATTCACCTTTTAAATGATTACAGTGCCCAATTCTATCTTGTTTCCCAATTTTTTCCCCAAGTATTTTTCCCAAATTTTGTTTTAAGTGGGAAAAAGTTCTGTATGTCAACACTCTTGACTAAGTACCTTTCACTTGAAGCAGTATTTCCATTATACTCTACTCTTTTGTTCAAAGTGTCTTAGGCAGAAGTTCATACCTGTAGCCTATTTAATAATAGCTGAATTACATTAAAAAACATCTATCGGATGTTTCACTATCACAACAACTATTACTCTTTAGGAAAACGTATTTTGTTGGAGGATATTGTTTTCCTCTCCTCTTGACTCAACTGGATCTTCTGGCACTCAGCACGTCAATCATGGACTGCCACCCAAGCCAGAACTGAATGTCTTATTTGCCTTCAACTACAAAATCTATTTGTATAGACAAGTAAATCTTACCTAATAAGACACTGACTTACTATGGTGGTTTCTTCACTGTATGTGTTTTTTTGGCATTTATATGTTGCCTTTTTGTTCTAACTCTTGTACAGATGTCACTATAATGCTGATGTCATCCAGGGCTAGGTCTTACTACTAAATCTCTTTGTAACAGTCATTTGTTACAATGAAATTTTATCACATGAAATACCGTTAAAACAAAATATCTATTGGTTGGCTTCAGATTTATGGTTAAAAAAGTAATCAATAATGATAATCAAATTCTTTCTGCAGAACTTCACTTTATAATTCATAAAATAATGCTACGATTTATACATTTGCTGGCCCCAAATTTATGGTAATTTTTTTCCTAATAACGATAATCTGATTTCATGTAAAGAAATTTATTTTATGACATAGAATACTGCCAGGGTAAGACTGTATGTCGGTGGAAGAAGAGAGACAAAGGCACAAAGACAAATGTTTGCATTATTTCTTGGATTGGTTACTGTTATTTCCTCTTCATAGTTTTCCCAAAGGATTTTTAACCTACCCAGAATCTTGCAGCTTGACTCATCATTACACATAACCTTTTCCAGCACATCACTTCCATCTTTACTGTCTCCAGTGGCTTGCAGTACAATGCCACATCATATTACTTACTTTCAGTTAGATTTTCAATTTATATTTTAGAAATTTTGATTACATAAACTTGAAGGCACTCCACCACATTGACAAGAGATGACTTTAGTATTTTCAAAATGCAGATTTAAGGATTGATATCTATACATCCTATTTTTTTTATAGCTTTTTTGCATTTTGGTAGGAGTTTAATTACAGGCATAATATACAGCTGTGGAATTCATTACAAGCTAAAGATGGTATTTTTTAAATCATCTGTGGGCAACGTCAAACTCCCCTTTCCTGCTTCTACAGTACTATAGTTCAGGATAGAACTTGTGGAAATAAATAGCTAGCAATGCTTTGCATATACCTCTTTGAAAAGCTAATTTACCATTGGGACGCAACTATTTAATAGTACAGTAATATACACCATAATTCATCTTCTAAGTACTATACATACAACCCTGTGAACTAATATATAACAGTTTGTATCTGCTGACTTTTATAACTTGTACGCTATGTTGAATGTCTATATCTGTACTAGTTTTATACATATGTTAAAGATTCTGCTTAAAGTCACAGGCAACTTCTGTATCACAAAAGAGATATTTAATACACTTAGGCAGCCAGTAGATTGTGCAACTCCATGACTATCAACAGTTACCTGAAAAGTGAATTCCTAAATATTCAGGGTCATTTGAATTTACTACAGAATGGAAGCTTTCCTCTAAAATTTCCTCCCACACACACCAATACCACTTTCAAGCTCCTCAGAGGAAATAAACTTCGATCATCTGTGTTGCGCTCAGAGGCACTGGCTTGTTATAATCCCAGTAAGAAAGATACTCAAACTCTGTAAAATATCTCTTAAAATGCTGTTTATTGGAGCTAACACTATAGAGAAGAAGAAGATAGCATCAATAATCTTACATCCCTTCAGATGCTGGGAATCCTGAGCTGTGTGGAATTGAACAGGCCTCCATAACAGGTTACCCCGTTTTGGTCATTTGAGTTCTTAGAGGATTTTCTTACAAGCAAAACAACCCTTTTCATCATTTATACTGTCAAATAAAAAGGACATTCACACAGAAACTTGCTGCTGAAGTTTTAGATAAAGGCAAGGACACGCAGGTGGTGTAACCACTCGTACCAACGAGCAGCTGCCTGTAGGCTCCTCTGTTACAATAAGCTGGCAAAGTTTATCCTGCAGCAAAGGGATATGCACAGCACAGGTCTGACTGTCAAACTATATGTGCAGCACAGCACAGGTCTACATTTAGGTTAACTGTCATGTGGATTTCTACCTCCTTGATGTACAATGGTCTTCCAATTAGGTTCACTGCAGCACCTTACATTTC